TTGCCAGTTTGGTGACAAAATTTATACGTAAACTGAGAGATTTTATATTATGTGTTGTACTGGTCGATGACTGTAATAATAAAGAGACTGACTGATATTATATAGTGTGCTGCACTTGGGCATTCTTGGACATATTTCTGAAAAATAAAGAATATAAAAATTTCCTGTTTAAATGGAAGTAGTAAGACCACCATATTGAAAAGTGTTCATCTGGTTAGAGTTTATCTCTAAGAGGAAATGCTAGATAAAGCCCATTTTTGGATTTGGGTAGCCACACAATTAGGCCAAGGTTTCCTCAGATCAAATTATGCACTTATACTGCACTATTCACACATAGCTCGGTGTCACTCATAATTCAGCAGTATAGTAGATGGATTTAGAAGTCAGCTTGACTATGCCACTGATAATATGCCAGAAGAAATCATATGGTTTGCATGTTGGAAACATGAATATATTATGGCATACAACCAGCCACCATGTAGAATAACTTTAAGTGGCACCCAAATGGTAGCGCAATGTTTAAATAGTTGTAACAATTCTGTATAGAAATGCATAAAAATACAAGACAGTCATCAATGCACCACATTTTTAAATATTCTTCTTTCTTGGTGATATTTTCTTTCCTGCTTGCTAAATAATTCATTTTTTTAATGAGAAAGAATCATACTATTCAAACATGAAGAAATGTGGAATCCATTTACCCTTTGGTTAATCCTGTTAGTGTGATTCCAGATGTTGCAATCTATAGGAATGGGGTGCAAAATAAAGGATACATAAATACTAAATGCTTGGTCAGTTTTTAATAAGAGCAAGTGTATACTGAGAATTTGTTATTCACTATTGCATTTTAAAATCACCTTTCCTTTTTACCCATGTACCCCTGGCAATGTATAACATATAAAAAAGCATGATATCAGCCAAATAAAACAACCCAAAGTAGTGGGAAAAGAGACATAGATAGTGATAATCCCAATTGACATTATGATATTAACTGCCATCTATTTGTTTATTTAGAAAATTTAGATGCCACCTTTCCAGAGAACCTGCCCAAGGCAATTTACAAAATGAAACAGGATCAAATAATAAAACAGCATAAAATCATTAACATTTAACAAACTATTAAAAATACCAGCCTGAGCATAAATGTAAATAAAATTAGCAGCCTAAAACAGTGCTTAGGCTGGAATAATTTGCCCAGTTGATGAATTACTTGCCCAGATTGCCTTTGTAACAGAGAAGTCTTTCTATTACTTTTTATGTAGTAAGTATAATCCATGGATAAATGTTCTTCTATAAAGACCAGCTGATAGTGATGTACACAGTGTAATGTGCTCTATGCCATGACGGATCTAAGAGGTGTTTATGTAATATCAATTATGCTCTGTCATTTGTCAGGTATACAATTAGTCTGATAACTCTTGAGAGTTAGTGTTTAAAATACCATCCTGTATCCAAATACTCTCAGCTAATGTGATAACCTAGTTGAAATGAAAAATTTTGAGTTTAAGAAAAATGGTATAGGAAAGACAGGGAATACCACTGTGCCAGAGAGACCTGGCCTTTGATACTTTGCCCAGGAAATTACCCTTTCAGAAAGCCTGCAAATGCAGCTTTTTTTGCCTTATGCAGGGAAATCATTCATGAGTGGACTTGCAGCAGTTGCTGCACCTCAGCCTCTGCAACATGTCCTGAAGTTGTAAGAATGTGCAAGGCCCTGAGAAAAGGGGAACAGTTTTCCATCCCATTAAGTGAAACATTCTGTGCCACTTCTGTAAAACAAAACAACTGATTAGGCAGAGTCCAGATCAGTCAACCAGCAATATGACATTTTCATTGCTACAACTTCCATATCTGAAGCAGCTAAATAAATAGCAGCCCTTGAAGTAAAGGAGCCAAAGGCCAACAAGCAAAAGTGGGGAGTTATGAGATAATATAGAACAATGTCACCAACAGATCAAGCATAATGATGTACAAAATTTCAAATGTGGTTTTTGATAAAAAGTCATTTTCCTGGAAAAAATATCCGAGACAAACACTTCAGGATTCTTACATTTATGTATTTATTAACTTATTTACAATATGTATAGTCTGCCTTTCTCATTGGGATTTAAGGAGGATTACACAGAGTAAATCAATACAATCAACAGGAGGAGACATCCAATAAACAATGCAAGAAGATTTGGATTGTAGAAATATTGGCTTGTACCATGTTGGTGTTTTCTGTTAGCCTTTGTGTAAAAAGAAGAGATATAGTTTGACAGATACTGCCAGTATCATACTTCAGATTCTTAGTGATTTATATATACTTGCTATTTATTCATTCAGATATTCATACTAAGAATCTCTAACCATTCATCTCCCACATTCATATCATCTGTCCTTCATACATATTAAATCTGAATATGTTTTAAATGCAAGTGTAAATATGTAGATCTTGATTGATTAGTCAGAGCAATTTGTTCATGTAAAAAAAAGCTCACGCAAATAATCTGAATCGTAATACAAAGTCTCCTATGATACTGAAAGCTTTGTGGGTAGAATTCTCACTACCAATTACTGAACAAAACGTGCAAATGATCCAAAAAGAAATGCTCAAACAAAATGAACAAAGAAAGACTAACAACTGTGAGAAAATGTAAGTTCCTAATGGCTGGTGCTATCATGTGGTCAGTTCACATGATGTCATCCAATGTTTCATTAGGAACTAATAAAGGCAGGTGAGACAAAACAAATCAAGGAGAAGTCCTCAAGGGGGAGAAACTACAAACTGAAAGGTGCTCTCAAAGCATCCAAAAATGGAACTATTGTTCACTCAAGGAAAAGGCCCTGTTTGTTTCATCTGTAGAGTATTGGGATGACATGCAGACCTTAAAAGTACATGTGGAGCCAAAGATATCTTTTCTTAGACAAAGTTTAATAAATAAACAGAAGAAAATCAAACTTCTGCAAAATCCTCCTACGCAATGTCAGCTTGAAGTCTGAACTCCAGGCAAACGTTCTCTTTGTTTTTCCCTTTTCTATTGTACTGCATTAAACTTTATTTTCTTGGTGAAGACAATGGCCTTATCTTGGAATGAGATCCTTATTCCACAGCCCGGCGTGCACTCCTGCAGTACTTTCATATTGCAAAGACTCGACTCTTATGAAATAATGAGCGAAGAAAAGAAGTCTTGACTTGACATAACGATAAATGAGGTGAAACTTTTTTTTCCCGTCAAGAAACCAGGGTTGGCACATAGAAAAAAAGAAAGTTCTATTTTAATATGAAATATAAAGCATCCATTGTACAAAAAGGTATATTTTTTTTCATCAGAAGCAAAGGAAGAATAAAGATAAAGGCTGCAACAGAATGAATGAGTGGAGAAAACTAAGATAATGTCATTGATAATCAGTTCAAGGCGAAGCGTTATCCACCAGGCCTTCAGCCCAGCCCTAGGGGAGAGCTTTTAAAAGTGTCCCTGTATGCATTTTCAGTCTCCTCATTACCATACCTGCTCTTTGAAACTCACCAGTGGTTCCAACAAACTGCAGTGACACCTGCCGGAAAGAGCGGATGACCCGTCTTAATCAACTACTTCTGTGAAAAGTCTATGGAAAGAACTGCCATCCAATCTTCACTTTGCTGTTCTGAAAGCTATTTGTCAATGGGTATCCTGAGAGCCATGGCTATGAACAAAGATCTGTGCCTGTGTATTGGAAATGTGGCACCATGATCAAAGCTAAGGAGAATCTCCCACTTGTTCCCTTTGTTCGTGAATATGTCCCTTCTCTTATATGGCTACTAGGACTGGAATAATTATCTGCACTTTATCCTTTATCTAAGTAGAAGTATTATCCCAGTAGTGTGGTTTCAGCATTGTCCTGAATGGGATTGGGACCCTGAAGCTTTCTATAGGGGCTCCCTAATGAGGCTTTTTCTTTTGCCTGAAGACCACAAGCAAAGTTGCAATTGCCTCATGGTCTGATGTTAGTAGTCTGAATTATGAGGGTAACAATAATAAAAGTATCTTAAAGTAAATGTTCTGAATAATGCAGCTAAATGTCAGTCATTAGCACAAAACGTTGAAATGCAGTCCTAAACTATTAAGATCAATAGAAGCTTTGCTATCGCCTGCAATAGAATGTGGACTATGCCCTAAAATGGAACTTTGTTCTTCAGTGATATATTAGGCAGAATAAAATACAGCTGGACAGATTTAGATTGAGATTAATTTGAAAACAGATATTTCAAAATATCACATTGATTGCTGAAATATCATGTTGAATAACATTTATAAATATTATCAGGACATTTGATAAACATGCATGTCCTCATAAGCATGTGTTCAGAGGCATAAGATACATGATAAAGTCACCACATAAATTCTGGATGGCAAATGATTTGTTTCAACAAACACTTATATGATGAGCTACTATTTCCAGTTCATACTTGACACCTAAAGAATTCACCAGACAGCATAAGCACTATGTAATTCAAATAAAATATGCATCATAGAAAACTGGCTTCATAAAATCATCTTATGGTGACTTTATCATGCCGCAAAATAATATGAGATTTGATTTGGAGTTCCATCACTTTCTACTGGATATGACTGGATAGTGCTACAATTGTAAAGGAACCAATGTGGTCAATCTCTAGAGTGTTTGGTTTAGAGGAGATCTGCTCAGCTATGAAACTTATTGGGTGATCTTGGCCAGGTAATCGTTAATTCTAATCTATTTCCCAAAATTATTGTGAAAGTAAAATGAACTAAGGATTTGTTGGTGATCCAGCCTGAGATCTCAAGACAGGATACAATACACACACACACCATCTGAACTAGTCAAACTGCCAACATGTCCAAATTCATTATTTGCTCTTATATAAGTAGTGCTTTCATTCTAATGTAATAAATAGTTCAACTTTCTAATCCATCAAAACTTTTACTCATCCAGAAAATAAGAATGTCTTGTATAAGAGATTTATGCATGCTGTGTCTATTTCCACCCATTCCTGACAGATTCATCTGATGTCTACTATTATGAATACAGCTCTGAATATACTACACTCAAACCCACTAACACCAGACGTGGTGTGTTTGCCAGAGATCCTGACTGGTTCCTTGAATACTTCAGCTACAATGGTATTGGTTCACACTTTCTTATGGTGAAAGGAGCAATGGAAAATGAAAAAAAAAACAAATTCAACAAAGCTTCAATTCTTACTTTGTTTTCTTGGTTATTTGCAAAATGTCATATGATTTGGATAGATTATTGTATTGTGTGTATTCTAAGGAGTATAACTATTACCTGTTTTCAAAACAAATTGAGACCACTGTTATTACTTTCAATATAAATTATATTTAAAAGTCCCATCTCTCACTGGAATTGATGTATTTTGGATCAGCATAAAGATATATTATACTAGAATTACTGGAGTTATAGTCTACCTTCATTCAAGGAAACCTAAGTAAATGGTTTGGTGTAGGGGGCGTAGTTCAGTACATGTTTTGCATGCAATAGGTCCTAGGTTCAAATCCTTGCATCCTCCTTTAGAAAATCTCAAATAGGATGGGTTGGGAAAGACTTTTGTCACCTCAGGCCTTGGAGAGTCACTTCCAGTCAGAGAACTAGACCCATGGTCTGACTCATTTAGCATAATTAAGGCATCACACAAAAACATATACATTTTTAAAATGGAAGAAATACTTTCTACGTATTTAATTTTTTTTAAGAGAGTGTGTAATTCAGACATACAGGTGACACTGCATGAAACTACTTTATACATTAATTCAACAATATTAATTCAATATTTAGTAGAATGTGCAAAAAATTAATTTCATTTTTTGTTTTGTTGCTCCATTCAGCAGCTTGATTTATTTTCTTCGCTCATTTCAATAATTTGCATGATTTTGGGTCTGATTTAGGTAGCTGCTTCATTTCAGTTCTGAGTATTAAAACCATTGTTTCCTACTGGTTTCAAACAGCAAATTTTAATTCATCATATTTTTAAAAATTATTTTGAATCACATGAAATTTTCAGGTGTGGATACCCTCCATGAGTGAACAATGCCTGCTGAATTTCATCCAAAAAATCATTGGATCTGATCATTTTAAAAGACTTCCACTTTAAAAGAATAGGTGTTTTTGTGGCTAATTTGCATGACATGCACATGGAATATAGAGGTACACTTGGTAAGAGCCTTGCAAAATTTCAGAAAGCTAGGTCCCAGAGTTATTCATGTAAACAGTATTTGAAGTCTGAGTTTATAATTATTTTCTTTTCCATTCAGTTGGCACCAAGGTCCTGGGAAATAGAGTGCTGATTACTAATTCCTTGCAAAGAATCAGAAAGATAGATATAGAAGTTCCTAGGAAAATCTTTATTGAATGTGATTGTCTAATACTACCGGCTGTTGGAGTTTAAATACGGAGTCCAAATTTAACTAACCCAGGCTTATAAATATTAATTAGGAACAATGAAATGGGAAAGAATTCATTGATTTAATGAACAAGCCGAATACACACCCCAAACTCCTGCAAATATTCATTGGGAAAACATCCAGAAACCTATCTATTTTTCATACGTTCATATTTCTCTTTTTAGAGTCACACAGAGAAAGCAAAGGAAGTACCAGTTAGCAGCCTTCATTCAGCAGCTATATGCCTTACTGTGATCAGAGCTGTGGATCATATTGCCTCTTGCATGAGCTCTCCCTCACTGCTTGGAAACCATCTCCCTTATATGGATGAAAAGGCTTCAGAGCCAAATGAAGCAGCCACCTGAAGTAGCTTGAAGAGGCTCAGATGGTTTTGCTTCAGTGCGGAGTATTTCAGAGGAAACTTGCTTCATTTAGAAGTCCTTCTAAAAAAATCTCCAAAGCAGGATGATTCATTTTGGAGTGAAATTCAAAATGTATTTAGCCTCCTTGTATTATCTGGATTCAGAGGCAGTTGGCCATGTGTAACTGAATGGAGAGGAAGTAGATTTAGGTGGAGTAGCCATGTTGGTCTGAAGCAGCAGAACAAAGTTTGAGTCCAGTGGCATCTTTAAGACCAACAAAGTTTTATTCAAAGTGTAAGCTTTCATGAGCAAAACGCACTTCTTCAGATACATTGAATTGGAAGTTACCAGTACATACATATAGGTAGAGGGTAAGGGGCAAATTAGCATACATCATAATAAAGGTGTTTAACAATTGCAAGGACCAAACTGGAATAACAAGCTTAGTTTATAATTGGTAACCATTTATTTGGGTTTAATTTTGGGGGAAACATAGTGAAGGAAATAAATATATCAAAATCAGAGATTGATTGGCAGATGTACCCTTCTTAATTGTGGGATGTTGAGAGTAATTAACTGAGTCCATGCTATTATACACCATCTCTCTCCTCTCAAGCATGGGGGCAACAGTACAGTATCCTCTTCTTTGAAGTGGTGCTATTGGCTGTGCAGTGTTATCTCCTCTGTCCCCAGACCAGAGGAAGTAGTGAGATACTTAGTGACTGTTGTCCCCGTTTGACTGCACAAAGTGATAGCCTAAACTGGTTGACATATGCAGACAGCAAATTTAGATATGAGAAAATGAAACAGCTGTTTTGCATGTGTAAACCTATCAAGAGAATAGTCATCAGTGGACTGGGGAAAGTGACTATAAAATAATTGATTGATAATGCTTTACATGGCTGCCATGACAAAACCTTAGTCTTTCATACGCAGCAGCCTAATTGTAAAAAAACCCTGTGCTTTATTTCCCTGACAGTAAATCCATGCCAAGCCAAACCATGTCAGAATAATGGGATTTGTGAAAGGAATAGAAACAGCTATACATGCCATTGTGTCAAACCATATACAGGATCCAAGTGTGAGCATGGTGAGTACTTTGTTGTTGTTGTTCAGTCACAGTCGAGTCCAACTCTTCATGACCCCATGGACCACATCATGCCAGGCCCTCCTGTCTTCTGTCATGCTCCGGAGTTTGCTTAATTTAATGTTTGTTGCCTCGATAACACTGTCTAACAATCTCATCCTTTGCCATCCCCTTCTTCTTTGACCTTTAATCTTTCCCACCATCAGGGTCTTCTCCAGTGAGTACTCCCTTCTCATTTGGTGGCCAAAGTATTTGAGCTTCAACTTCAATATCTGGCCTTCCAGGGAATAATCAGGGTTGATTTCTTTTAGGATCTCCTTGTAGTCTGGGGGACTCTCAAGAGTCTTCTCCAGCACCATAGTTCAAAAGAATCTATTCTTCGGCACTCAGCCTTCCTTATAGTCCAACTCTTGCAGCCATACAGTACTACTGGGGATACCATTGCTTTGACCATATGGACTTTTGTTGGCAGGGTGATTTCTCTACTTTTTAATATGCTGTCTAGGTTCACCATCGCTTTCCTCCCAATGAGCAGGCGTCTTTTAATTTCATGGCTGCAGTCACCATCTGCAGTGATCTTGGATCCCAGGAACGTAGTCACTGCATCCACGACTTCCCCTTCTATTTGCCAAGGAGTGATGGGGCCGGATGCCATGATCTTAGTTTTTTTGATGTTGAGCTTCAAGCCCACTTTTGCACTCTCCTCTTTTACCCTGAGCAAGAGGCTCTTTAGGTCCTCTTCACTTTCTGCCATTAGAGTGGTATCGTCTGCATATCTGAGGTTGTTGATGTTTTTCCCAGCAATCTTAATTCCAGCTTCTGAATCATCCAGGTGAGTGCTAGTTTCATATTATTGTTGCTGTTTCACAAAACATATTCACTTTTACATGCACCTTTTAATTAAATAATTTGATGCCTGCTTACTCCAAAGTGCATAATTATTTAAACAGACTATAGTTAGTTTGATTGCAAAATGTACATTCCATCAGTTAGTTCAAATATTTATTGCTTTGTCAACAGTTTTGAAAGAAATGTCAAGATTATATCTATAGTATTTGTGACATTCATGACTTTTCATAGTTTATAAAATAAAAATAAAAAAATCTGCAGTGCTGACATCGCATATATTTCATCTGTTGCATTTTTTGTGTTTAGCTTTTTAGCCTTTTAAAAAAGTCATTACGTATTATGATCAAACTATGTAATACTCAGATATGGACACATACATAAATTTTGCCTCATCCCAATGTAATACATCCAATTCAATGCTCTATCATCATCTCAATCAAAGGGTCCACTTTTGTTGACCATCAGTTAGCCTCTAAGAAACGGACAGATAGTTTACATAAGCAACCTCAAAGATCAATGAACATTCTAATACAAAATTGATATGTTCTTTTCTTTTCTTTTTGCTCCCCAATGGGGAATTTTTATTGCATTTTTATTAAGACTACAAACTATAACAGAAATGAGGGAGGGGACTACATTTAAGGGATAAAGAACCCACTACTGACTAAAAACCCAAGAGAGGAGATCATCAAATTAGCTTAAATATACGCTATCTCTTAATCACGCTAGTACCATTATGAATTGAGCTACATATCATATTATCTCTTTCAAAACTTCACGCTAGTACCATTATGAATTGAGCTACATATCATATTATCTCTTTCAAAACTTAAACTTAACTGTTAACAAGTAAGACCCCTCGGCATCTAGTTTCAATACTTTCAAAGGCATAATTCAGAGTCCTTCAGCCTTCATTTTCCCTTTCCCAGTCTCTTCCGCAATTTGTAAGGACTTCTAGGGGCTGCTGCTCCTTTCTCTGACAGAGAGTCCTCTCCTGAAGTCCATTTGTAATTGCAGCAACTGTTCTTCTGTGGAGATTTGCTTCTTTTCCAGTTTTTGTACTTTCTTCTTCACCTTTTGGGCAGTGGTGTTCACTTCTTTCACCTTCTCAGCTGTTTGGTTCATCATTTTAAGCGTCTCATTCAACTGTGTTTGCTGAGTTCATTGGTTCATTGTTGACAGCTGCTCCCTGAGGTTACTCATCTGATCCAGCAGAGGGTGCATGGGATTCTGCTAATGTCTTTGCCAGCTCATTGGTTCCTTTCGGTCTTGGACTCTTTGTTCCTTTCGCTTTTGAAAGTTTCTCTTTCTCCATCCTCTTTCCCGCCATCTTCCAGGATTGTTTACTTCCGCAAATATTTAAAAAGTCTCTGAATATGCGCTTATATGCTCAAGCTCGCCTTGGTAAGTCTTTCTTAACAGTTTTCTCCGCTTTCTCTTCCGCTCCCCCCCTCCAACTCGCTTAAAAGTTCATGCGCATGGGAGGCGTCCCTCCCCTGCTCGCCTCACTTTCTGTTCCATGGGGTGGGGAGCTATCTTTTCAATTTAACCGGTACGCTTTAAATGAACTCACGTTCATAATTGGTCCTCAGACCTCGTTTTATCTCCGTTTCTGTGCTCAATCTCCTGTGCTTGCCCCGGATGGTGTCACTTAGTTCCATTCGGCCACACAGCATGAAGAACCTTCAGGACGGAGAGGCGCCTCAATTCCCCGGCATCGCACCGGCAAAGAGGCGAACTCTTGAGAGTCCCATGGCCAGCGACCCTTCAACCGGGTCTCTGGGGGGGGGTAACGATCCTGCACACCCCCTCCTTCTGCTGGTGTGCAGCTTCACCCCCGGGATGTCCGGGAGGTGAGTCTGCTAGCACGCCACCATCAACCAGAAACCGATATATTCTTGTATCATCTAGCTAGAAAGACTTGAATTACAACTTATTCTCCTTAGGAAATCAGTAATTTCAAGAAAAGATTTGATCTCTTCCAAGAGATGAAACAGCACAAAGAAGCTGCACCTAATGAGATGGCGTGACGATGTTTTATAACATAAGGAAAGGATGCCAATAACTGAAAACCCAAGTTTTCAAAATTTATATAGGTGGTGCAAAAGACATGTCATCATAACACATCTACCATGTCTCACTCTCCACAGCATGCCAACCATGCTGCACATGGAGGGTTCAAACTCTGGCTATAAAACCTTTTGAATGACAGAGCCTTGGAATAGAAAGCATTATTGTTTGTATGAAGTATTAGCTTCAAACCACAGCAGTCTATGAAAACTAGATTCATGTATTTCATTCATTATTCTTTCATTATTGATTATAATAATTTTAAAATGGGGTGTTTGTAATTAGTGTAATTAATATGAAAAGAAAACTCGTGTGTTCCTTACATTTTGTTTTGTTTCTTTTCCCTAATCACCCCTTGAATGAAAACATGACACAAGTTATGGGTTACACTGGGAACTTTATAACAAGCTGATCTGCTTAGTTAACACCTTAAAGCATGAGTTGTAGCTGGCTTGCAAGGCGAGCCTTCTAACAGGGCAAAACCACCCTGGCTCAGATCCAGATCCGGAATCCCTCCAAACCTTTTTCCTCATGGCCTGCACATGTGTGTGCAGAAGGGATGGAGGGGCATAGTCCCTGCCTATGACTGCTAAGACTTAAGGCTTGTCGTATGTCCCCCCCCCCGACCCCAAAGAGGCCCTCACTGAGCCACCCAGACCATGGAGCCAATAGGGACCCAGTTTGAGGACCCCCCCTATTGCCAATATCTCGGGGTACTTACCAACTCAAACTCCCCTTAACCCATGCTTTTCCTGCCATCTCAATTAGGGCCTAACCAGATTAACCAGGCCTATTTATACCTCACCATTTTGGATCATGGTGGAGCAGGCAAAAAAAAAAGGCCCACCTCACAGCCAATTTGAGTGAGAGCCCCAAAAAATCCTGTTTGGCCCCCTCAGGATTCCTGTTTGGAATCCTGTTCAGAATCCAGTTAATCCCACATGGTCTCAAAAGAGGGAAGAAAAATGGGGAGCTCGTGCTATGCTGGAATGAGGAGGAGTGGTGGTCACTGCTGAACACTGTTGCCCTGGCCTGCATGCCTGCCTCCCATTGGCAGGCACCAATGTGTTGAGCCTTGATTGGCTCCCCCTCCACTTGTTTTATCATTCTATGGGGAGGGGGAGCTGGCAACTGCCAGGGTTTGCCTTACTTGGCTGGAACCAGTCTTGTTACTGTAATCGTTTCTCTCCCTGACTTTACTCATTTCACTTTTACAAGGCAGCCAGTATTTTCCTGATGAAGACATAAGCTGTGTTCCTTAAGGGGAAGGGTGAGAAGGGGCTATGGGCTTTCTTAATGGACTACAGGATCCAGCAACTAGGATTACATACCTGTGTGTGGTATTCCAGTCCTGAAGGGGTGGGACTTTGTCTTCCTCACTCCTCACCGTGCTTGCCCTGCTACACCGAATTTTTTCCTTGCAATCTGTGCTTACCTGGTTGTCTTTTGCTCTCCAATCCTTATCCCTTCCAGGCAAATCTACCTCAAGGTCTTCCTGCCGGCACCTGCCTGCCCAGATGCCTTGTCCTTGTCACCCAATGCCCTTGTCAGTCTGCCTTGTTCTCATGCTACTGTTCTTCAAGCTAAGTGGCTGCTGTGCCAAATCCCCTCACTGCACACTGCTGTCTGTGTTACTGTGTCTTTGGAATATTTCCTATCAACTCTACCATAGACTTGGATGTTAAATTTGGGTGCCTTTACTTGCCTTAAAAAGTTGGGGGCCACTTTATACTGTATGTCTGAAATTTGGGAGTATGAATGTCCTAGGGAAGTGCTACAATGTCAATCACCCTGAGTTTTGTCCAATTTGGATGGAAATAATGAAGGTACACATCCAAGAGGGGGTGTCTTCCATTGAAAGGATTGGGAAATAATGAAATAGTAGCATGAAAATGAAACAACAATAATGAAAGAAAGAATAACAAAGCTAAAACTATATGAAACAAACCAATAACAAAATAGTCCCCTTTGTAATTTATAACAAAATCAAAATTAGCAAGACAAACTCCCATGAACAAGTCTAATGAAAACGATACTAACAGTGCAGTCCTCAGCAGTTTCTTCCTTTATTTTGTCTTCTTCATGTTTTCCAGATTTGACACTTTCTGCTTTAACCTTCACCAGTAGTCATTTCAAGTTTTCACTATTTTCTGCTAGTAATTGGTGTCATTTGCATATCATCTCAAATTGTTAATATTTTTTCCACCAATTTTTACTCAACTTTCATCCAAATCTAATCCAGCTTTCCTTATGATATGTTCTATATATAAATTGAACAGATAGGGAGATAAATTACCGTACATCCTTGTCTGAAACCTTTGCAAATTGGAAACCATTCTGTTTCTCCATATCCTGTCCGAAGAGTAGCCTCTTGTCAGGAGTACAGGTTGCACATCAAAACAGATGTTGTGGGACATCCATCCATTGCTTTCCAATATCCACACAGTCAAAAACTTTGCTGTAATCTATGAAATACAGGCTGATTTTCTTCAGAAATTCCTTGCATACTTCATTAACCAACATAAATTTGCAATATGTTCTCTAGTGCCTCTTCCTTTCTGTTGTGTCTGTTGTGGGGAGGGGAAGGGAAAGGGAGTGAAGGGCTGGGTATCAATCCAATCTCCTCCTCCTCCTTCCTTTCTGAATCCAGAGTAAACATCTGGCATTTCTTGTTCCATATATGGACAAGAGTCTTTGTTATAAGATTTTAAGCTTCACTTTAGTCGCATAAGAAATTTATGCAATGATCCAGTAGCTGCTGCAGTCTTTAACATATCCTTTTTCAAAAATCAGAACATAGATTGACTGTTTCCAGTCCGTGGGCCATTGTTTTGTTTTCCATATTTGTTCGCATATCCTTGTTAAGATTTTAATGAACTCTGTTTCGGTAGCTTCAAATAGCTCTATTAATATCCCATTTACTCCTAGTGATCTGTTTCTCCTAATTGCTTTGAGTGAAGCTTTCACTTCACTTTCTAAAATAGCAGGTTTTCCCCCAAAAGATTCATCTTGGAAGGAATCTATCATTCCTGCATCTATTTTGTATAGTTAAACATAAGAACATAAGAGACGCCAATGTTGGATCAGGCCAAAGGCCCATCCAGTCCAACACTCTGTGTCACACAGTGGCCAGAAATACCAGTGCCATCAGGAGGTCCAGCAGTGGGGCCAGGACATTAGAAGCCCTCCCACTGTTGACCCCCCCCAAGCACCAAGAAGACAGAGCATCACTTGCCCCAGAGCCCCTAGCTATACCTTGTGGCTAATAGCCACTGATGGACCTCTGCTCCATATGCTTATCTCATTCCCTTTTGAAGCCGTCCATGCTTGTAGCACCCACCACTTCCTGTGGCAGTGAATTCCATGTGTTAATCACTCTTTGGGTGAAGAAGTACTTCCTTTTATCCGTTCTAACCCGACCGCTCTGCAGTTTCATGGAGTGCCCACGAGTTCAGTGAATTGTTCCCATCTTTTCTTTACTTTGTCCAGTTAATGTAGTTCCATGTTGATCTTTCAGCATGCCTAACCATGCTTTAATTTCCCCTTGATTTCTTGGATTTTGTGGAATAGATCTCTTGTTCTTCCTTTTTTGTTGTTCTCCTCTGTTTCTTTACACTTGTCATTATAATAGTTCTCTGTGTGTCTACTTGTCAGTCACTGGATTGCTACATTTAGATTTCTGATTTTATTTCTGACATCTTTTACTTTTGCTTCTTGTCTCTCTTTAGCAATTTTAAGAGTTTCATCAGTCATCCATCAAGACTTTTCATTTCTTTTGACTACAGGAATAGTTGTTACATATTGTTCCTTGAAAATATCTCTGGCTTCAACCCATAGTTCTTCTGGTTCCCTTTCACTATAACTCAGTAATGCAAATATGTTCTTTACATGATCTTTAAACTCTTCAAAAGAATGTATTTTAGATTTTGGTGTTTTTCTTGAGCTTTATTCTAATTTTCAATATTAACAATTCATAGTCTCTGTACCACAAGCAGCTCCTAGACTTGTTTTAACAGAGAGAATAGAGCTTCTCCACCTTCTGCTTCTGGTTATGTAAGCTCTTTTATTTCTGTATTGATCATGCAGTGAAGGCCATGAATAAAATCGTCTGTTTGGTTGCCTGAAACCAGTTCACAATGAACAAGTTGTTGTCTTCAGAGAATCCAAGAGCCACTGTGCTGCTTCATTACATGCTCCTAGCCCAAATTTCCCAACAAAATTTGATTGTACATTGTTTCCCACTTCTGCGTTCCAGTCACCTATGATTATCAGCACATCTTGTTTAGATGTGTGATCAATTTCTTACTTGACATAAAGCTTTAAATGCCTTCCTCTTCAGTATCTGTATGTGAGATGTAAACTTAAATGACAGTTATATCGATAGGATTTCCATGAAGTCTGATTGATATATTTCAGCCAGACTTTGCATTATAGCCCCTGATTGTTTGTGCTATGTCTCACCTCACTATTAGAGGAATTCTGGCACTTTCTACACCCATATTTACCCTCGGTCTCTGAGTGCATCCTATTCTTCCATTCTTCATTCTCTCCCGCTGTCACTTTCACTTTGTTTTGGGGCATTCTTTTATTTTTGCATTTGTTTTATATGAATCTGCATTCAGACCACTTCCAGCACACTGTTTCCCCACAGCTACCAAAACTCCTTTTGCAGTGATTCTTTGTTCTCATTTCAAATCACCAATCCTTTCTAAAGTAGAATTAATTATGTGGGTATTTAAGTACTGCCCACTGCCCCTCCCCCATTTCTGCCTCTCTCTCTTTAGGATGATGCTTGCTCCCTGTTCTGTTTTCTTTACCTCCTTCTCCAAAGACAAAAGAGGATGTGTCCTCCTGTTCAGGCAAACTTTTAAAAATCCAGAGAGCCCATAAGAAGGAATCAGTAAATATATAGGCCTAGGGGATTCACAAATGTGTCAGTCTTGCATGTGTGGGTCTGGATTTTTCCCTCCCTTCTCTTTCGTTTTACAGAATCACAGAAGGAGGGAGGGGTTGGCAGCCAGTTAGCTCAAAAATGTGGGGTTTGCTTGTAGTTGCAGAATGCATACAGAATACACAAACAAATAAACCAGAGGGGGGGAAACCAGTGCAGAGAGAATGCATGTGACTGTGAGGTCAACCCTTGAGGCTTGACTCTTTGGATTCTCCAGAGCAAGCTGTTAGTGCAGAAAGGGCCTCTGTTTCTCCTGAGTGAAATGCCTTGTAATTTTCTGACTGAAAATGTCCTAATCCATTCCATTTTAGTTCACTCACTTCCAAGATTGCAGTCTAAGAAAGTGTCTTATGAGAGCTCAGTGGGCATTCATCTTTTACAGTTACAGGCACTGGGGGGAATAACATTCCCAATGTATTTTGTATGATTTCAGAGTTTTCTTCAAAGTTGAGGCTTTCCTCAAGTTTGTAGACCTCACCCCCTTTCCCATCTGTTTCTGGCTCTATTGTGTGGATCTTTTGATCTCCACTCTAGGACCTGGTTCAAAATTACGTATAGTGTTATAGCCAGGGGTCATTTCGTAGAAAAAGAGCTAGGGGGACTCATTAGCATAACTCATTAGCATATGCCACACCCCCTGACATCACCGGAAGTGTGTCCTCCCCACAGCCGGCGGCGACCTCCAGCGGGCACCAGCAGGGAGCTCCAGGCCCCACCCTCCCGCACCTCACCCGGGGGGATGGCGTCCCCCCGCGTCCCCCCCCAAATGACCCCTGGTTATAGCTATGATTGCTAGGGCAGGAGGGTTTGGTCAGGCAAAATTGTGGAAATGGCATCTCACAATGTCAAATTTCATTTATGACCAAAAAAAATCAAAGTGACATCACTTCCATTGATAGTATAGATACCCTGTGATACTTCAGAAACCCTGGATTTTGCCATAGAGATCCAGGGGATTCCTAGAGTATCACTGCATTGGTGATGCCACTGCCACTTTTTCAGCCAGAAATGATATCGTGATGACTTTTCCACCTCCCCATTCCCTCCTATTATAGTAGTGATGAAATTGCTGCAAAATGAGGAGATAACATTCTTGTCAATTTTACCTGTACATACCACAGTGAAAAACACATGTCAAAGAAGCAGCTGCAATAGGGGAGACTGTCTTATAAGCCTAATACCACCTTATTATCGATGCAGTTGCAGACATCCCTATCAACTTCCATTCTGTGACAGAGGTAAGTACTATGTGGATAATGTCTGCTACCCAACTTCACTAAACTAATGCTCTTGTTACTGCTATTATATATGGCTACTTGGAAAATGAACCCAATCTTTCATTTCCTCCCGCTGTTTTAAATCCTTCAATAAATATAACCTTTAAATTTGGACAGAATTACTTGCTTATAACACTGTACCCTGTCCATCCTCCAAAATGCATGGGTTGGCTGATATTGAGTTATTTTATGTTCAAAATGACCCCATAGACAGAGAAATAGTGTCTTGCTAAAGGCTTATAAGTGTCATTGGTTTCCTCTAAACTGAATGTACTACTATACCATGCTTACCATTTCTGTTTACAAAAGTACTCCCAATGGTGTGCCTCCCTGCATTGTTCTTGCAAGATATTAATCTCATTTAAGAGCCTGATTTGTTTTATTGTCTGAACACTGACAGCGCAATCTGTTTGCAAACCAAACCCTTGCAAAAATGGAGGCACCTGTGTGAAACACCGAGTAAGATCAAAGTTCACATGCAACTGTCCCGAGCCATTCAGAGGAAAGTATTGTAAGATAGGTAAGGAAATGCTCTATGTTCAAGTGGTGGACAAAGTAAAACTTGGGACGGAAGGAATGCCAGACCAGTAGTATACTCTGAGGTAAACTAAACATGCCAGAGAAATTGTGGCTGCCATAAGTGTTCAGTTTTGGGCACCACAATTTAAGAAGGATATAGACAAGCTAGAACATGTCTAGAGGAGGGCAACAAAGATGGTGAGGGGTATGGAGTCCTATGAGGAAAGGTTGAAAGAGCTGGGTATGTTTAGCCTGGAGAGGAGACAACTGAGAGGTCATACGATAATCATCTTCAAGAACTTGAAGGGCTGTCATATAGAGGATGGTGCAGAGTTGTTTTCCATTGCCCCAGAAGGTCAGACCAGAACCAACAGGTTGAAATTAAATCAGAAAAGTTTTCGGCTAAACATTAGGAAGAACTTCCTGACAGAGCGGCTCCTCAGTGGAACAGGCTTCCTCAGAAGGTGGTGGGCTCTCCTTCTTTGGAGGCTAGATGGCCATCTTACAGCAATGTGGATTCTGTGAATTTAGGCAGATCATGAGAGGGAGGGCAGGAAGGGTTGCATCAGTGCTTAGTTCTTGTGGCCTTTCTTACTCTCCCAGGGAAATGCTGATCGCCACTTTGGGGTCAGGAAGCAACTCTTCTCCAGGCCAGTTTGGCTGGAGATCCTGGAGGTTTTTTGTCCTCTTTTGGGCATGGAACAGCAGTCACTGGAAGTGTATGGGGGTATTTGTGAATTTCCTGCATTGTGCAGGGGTTGGACTAGATGACCCTAGAGGTCCCTTCCAGCTCTATAATTCTATGATTCTAAGTGTCCCATCACCATTTTGAAGTGATGCGAAAATTTTGAAGTGATGCCTGTGGTACAAACCTCTTCCCCACCACCCCATGCCTTTGCAGGAGCCAAAACAGCCACAGGAGCATATAATGACATTCTTTTTGCAGGACCAGAAGACTGTTTTACAACAAATGGCCACACATACAGAGGAAATGTTAGTCAAACAGTGCTGAAGAAGACCTGCCTTCACTGGACATCTCACCTTCTCTTGGAGAGCAGCTACAATGCATTTATGGAACATGCTGACTATTATGGACTTGGTGACCATAACTTCTGCAGGTAAACTTCAGTTCATGCATTCCAAATGTTCTCCTTCCCTAAACTTTCCATGAATAAGGATACTGGAGAAGAAGAGGAATCTCTATAGCAACTAAATCAGTACAGAATGCATTGAATTATTTTCTGCTACCCCCTATGGGAATTACTACTCTGTAGTTGATAACACTATTTGAATACCGTCAGCATGAATGAACTTTCCTTGGCTTAGTTACAGGAAGCTTCCGCACACATTGACAGAAGAATTCCCAAATAGATGTTTGATAGGGGCACACCTGTGAAAGATGTATGTAAAATCTTGAACTAATAAAGTTTACACAATTCATTAAATACTAGTAATCACGTGAAGGACAAACGAGACATAGCCAATGTACACGTACTGACACGTTTGCTGTGTAAAGTGCAGAGGAGAGCATGGTAAAAGAAAACGCAAAGGTCAAATGAGAGGAGCTTAACTCTGCCTCCCCCCTCTCCTTATGACCAACATTTAGCTCCAAAACAAGGGAGTGCAAAAAAGAGGACTTCACTTTAGCTTCACTCAGCTGTGTTTTCTATTTTCCATAAGAAAAATCTATACCTACCACTCCTATTTACATGTGAATATGTGTGGATATCCCCATCACATCTACTTTGCTTTAGGTCTCTTTGTTCAAGAATTTAGTAGTAAGTCGTAGATTTTAGTACTAAGTGAGCACCTTCAGCAATGAAGATGTTATAACTAATAACAACTATAAACAAACAAACCTCAGCGGAACTGAAGATATTATATTATATCAGCTACACATACAGAAAAAAATCATTCCAAACTGCACTTTATAAAAATGGTGATATGCAATGATAAAAAGAAGTCACGCACAACTAGTGAAGATAATATTTATACAGTAGTGTGAACCTTTTTCAGTTCTGCTATCTTCCTGCTGTTCGTTTAGTAACTTGCTCAATTCTGACTGGTGACTACTGAAACCTCCCGCTTTCAGGAATCCAGATGGTGATGAAAAGCCCTGGTGCTTTGTCAATGTGGATAACAAGGTGAAATGGGATTTCTGTGATGTCTCCCCCTGCTCAGCAACAGGTAGACTGGATAATAATGTAGAACATATTAATTCAAGTTGAAAGACATGGCAGATTGGCAGACATTGTGAATTGCCTGCCATCTCTCCACCACTACAACACAGCCCACAAAATTATAGTGACTCTAGCATGATTTTTAACAGAGTTCTTGAAGCTCTGCTCAAGAGTTTTGTGTTATTATAGGAACTGCTATTTGTAAATTGCTGAGAAGTGTGCTAAACAAATAACAGGTTCTGGAAAGTCTACCATCAAGAGACACAGAATGAATGAAATATGAAAGGGTACTTCACAAAACAAACCACTCACAGACGAAAGGAATAATATTCCATCTGACCCTATTAGGAAATCAAATGTTGCTGATGCACTGTGAGAAGCAACTTTGATGCTGAGAAGTTGTGTTTCTGTGGATAGCCATTTCAGAGAAAGTGGTACAAGTGTGTATGTGTGTGTGTATGTGGTGTTACACACCCTTGCTTTCTTGAATTGCCATGCTAGTCACCCCACTTTGCCTTGTCTAAAATGGGGTGCTTTACCCCATCTGAAATTTGGCCTGGAGAACTCCTTGGTACAATCTCTAGGAATTTGAGTGGGAGGAAATGAGTCCCTGTTCTCAGTGACAGGAATGAAAGTAAAAAAACTAAAACTAGTATCTTCTAAAATAAATATAATGAAGCTAAACAACATTTTGGAAAGGAAAATGAACTCAAAATAAACACGAGTAAATAACTTTAGGAAGGGCTTTTTTTGTAGAAGAAGCCCAGCAGGAACTCATTAGCATATTAGGCCACACCCAACAGCAGAAACTCATCAGCATATTAAGTCACACCCCTGACAGCGCAGCTCATTAGCCTATTAGGCCACACACCCATGCCTTCCCTTGGCTTGCCTGGGCGTCCTGCAGGCAAGCCGGCCCTTGGACAGGCTGGGGAAGGCACGGGGAGGCATTTAAATGCCTCCCCGATCCTTCCAGGGGGCCCTTTGGCACACCCACCTCGGACTCGCCGGGGGGGCGCTCTCCAGGCCTTCCCTCTATAGCCAGGCACGCAGAGGTTTTGGCTGTAGTGGGCGTGGCCAACTCTGAAGCCAGCCGGAACTCCGTTCCTGTGCGTTCCTACCCAAAAATAGCCCTGACTTTAGGCATATCCTGGCTATAAGGCTGAATGATGTTAGATAGGATGACTTTTCTTTGCAAGTGGAGACTGAGAGAAAATTTCACCATGTGATGTTTCCAAATGGTTGCCATATCCTTTATGTTGTAATAGAACACGTTGGGACTACAGCCAACTTTATCATGCATCCTAGAATGGGTAACAGGCTCAGTACCTGTGGACAACCAGAGACAATAAGATCACTCAAGAGGATCTATGGTGGAACCAAGACCATTCCTGGCAAGCATCCATGGCAAGCCTCTCTTCAGAGGAAGTTTTCAGTGGGTTCTTCCATGCCCAAAGGACACTACTGTGGAGGAGTACTGATTGAACCATGCTGGGTTCTTACAGCTGCACACTGTATTGTGTAAGAAGGCCCACTGCATTCTACTGATTTGGGGTTGAGCTGCTAAATTACAGTTAGGAAATTAACTAAGACATAGACCACAGAGAATGGAAGTGACTAATCATGGCGAGGAAAAACAGGTAGAGAGAATTTCCTCTCCCCAAATACTAAAATTCTCAAGCATTTGATGAAGTGAATGAATAGTAGATTCAAAAGAGGCAAAAGAAAGTACTTGTTCATGCAATGAACACTTAACTTGTAGAACTCACTGCCACAGGTTAGTGGTGGCCATTTGTTTGGAGGGTTTTAAAAGAGATTAGACAAATGTATGGAGAAAAGGTCCATCAGTTGCTAAATGGAATCTTCATTTCAGAGGCAATAAACCTCTGAATGCCAGTTGCTGGCATTCAACAGATGAAAGTTTGACCTCTTTGGCCTTGCTAGAGGGTCTTCCAGTACATCTGCCTGACTACTGTGAGAAACAGGATGCTGGATCACTGCTCTGATCCAGCTGGAATTTCCTCATGGTCTTGTGTCCAGTGTACCAGTTTTGCCTCATTCAGTACTGGTTCTGTTATAACGTGGTCCAGTACTGGTTCTACTATCATTTTAATATTTACAAAATGGTTCCACATGACTGTGATTGTGTTGGCTAGTCAAAGCATCTCAAATTCAAACTCTGTGCCAGAGCTTGCTGATATAAATACTGTTGGCAAGGAAATGTGTAGAATCAATGCAACCATATGCTCAGAAGCTCTTTCACAGAACTTTTTCCAAATGTGTGTGTTTGAGTGACAGACCAACATCGAACTCCATTTAACTTGGCGCTTTGCATACATTTGATCCTGTGGTATAGGATCTTATTTCTAGAAATAGGGGGACTTTATTTAATTAGTTGCTTTTAGCAGTATGCTTCAAAAATCTGAAAACTGAAAGTGGCTTTGTTTTTCCAACACTGCTTCATGCTCATAGGTTAATATATTAGAGATATTTTCCATGGTGTTCTGGAGATTTGTGTACAGGGGTTGAACTAGAAGGTCTTTGAATTCTCTTGCAGCTTTCTGATCTGTGTTGTTATTCTCCTCCATAGGACAAACATACATAATCTCCAAGTGACCCTTGGGGAACAAGATCTCACTAGGAGGGAGCAATATGAGCAGAAGTTTGATGTAGAAAAAATAATTAAACACGGACACTATCGAGAAAGGGATGAGATCCCATACAATGATATTGGCAAGTTCTGCGATATGCGTTGCTTACAAACATTGTTGCTCTCTGAGGACAGAAGGAAACAGTGGGCTTTAGCAGAAGAACATTGTTACAGGCTAAAAATCAGGATAAATATATTGTGTCTATAATCTGGGTAGTAGAGAGTACAATTCTGGAAGGCAGCAAAGTCCTCATCTGTTAGAAATGTTAGAAAATATATTGGATTGGATACAAAGTACCAGAAACAGATCAATGCTTTTGGAACAGGACTTCTTTCTTTTCACTACAGCCCTGTGAGGCTCCCAAATTCTGCTCATAAAAGTCAGCATCTTTGGATATAACCTACTGAATTTTTCAGAGGTACTTATACATATTTATTTATTGCATAGCAAGTTCAGATAAACAGACTGGTTGAGAGTATGAGCATCCTATTGGGAATGGAACATTGATTCAGTGCACCGATGGGTGATTATGATTACCATTATGCTCCTTATAACTCACCTGGATGTATCTCATTGCTGGTTAGTTAGCTTGCTTTTTGGGAGACAATTTTTTTCAAAATGGTTCCCATACTGGGGGGGGGGGGGAATGACATGAGACAGGATGTTCTGTGATATTTTTTTTGCCCCATCCACTTTTTTAAATGTACAAAACATCAGTGGGATGCTGATACTGGGAACGCTTGTTTGGTATGTGAGGAAAGGGCCTGCTGTCTCTGATCAACCCTCCAGCCTTTCCCAGTTGCTTTTCTGATATAATATTTTTATTGAGTATATCCAATCTACATACACACAAATCATTACTCATCATGTTGATATACACATTTTCTGCTTTTTAAGACCAGTACTAACCAAACAAAAAAGAAAAAAGAAAACCTCCTGAGGTTACTGTTTCATCAACCTAGTCCTTTTTAATCTCATTTAATCCCTCCTCTTTTCTTATGCCCCTATCTTACCCATTTATTGGGTCCCCATACGACTTTCCCCAAAACTTATAATTAACCTTGATACATTCCATAATCTTCAGTTCATTCCTACACCAGTTACTACTACTATCTGTCTTCTTCTGTTCCTGAAAAGAAAAGTTGAAAGGATCTGCCTCCAATTATGGGCGCTATAGAGAACTCTACAGCAGGAGGAAAAACCTTCTCCCTCCCTAAATTCGGAGGTCTTGGGGGGGCCACACTCTTCACCTCCTTGCTATACCCTAATCTAACACTTAATACACTAATCTAACATTTAACACTTGTATAATATTCTGCTTAATCATATTTGGAATCCAAGTCTACTCTTATATTATATACTCTTATACCCATAGTCACGCTATAACCTAAATATCAATACCAGACCACGTTATTCCCTTCAAACACCTCCTTCCTTCAGTTTGAACAGCGTCCACTAATTCCCCCGCCCCCGTTGTCTCATTATGTGCTGTAAATGTTTTATTATTTAATTGACCACCAGGTGGCTGAGCGCTAACCATCTGTAGGGAATCTCTTTTTCTCTCAGTGTCTTTGCTGTTTCCTTTGCTGTCACCTTTGTCTCGCGATAAGCACTTCTGGAATGACGTCAGCATTCGAGGGCCAGTCCTTGTTTTTCTCGTGCTATTTTAAAAAGTTTATTTCTAGTCTGTAGCTCCTTGAACTCCACAATGATGTCTTGCGGAACACCTTCATGGGCTCTTTTTGATATGTTGATTTGGAAGGCCGAGGTGATTATCTCTTCTGAAGTCTTTGTTTCTCCCGCCAGTCGAAGAGTCTGCAGAAACCATTTGTTTAATTCCTCTTTAAGATTTCCTGTTGCACAGAAGTTTGAGGAAACTCCACGGAGGTTCGCTTTTCTTTCTCTTAACCTGGTCTCCTGAAGAATGATTTTGTTCTTAGCCCACTTTTCAAAGTCTTGTAACTCCGACAAATCATCAGCCACTTTTCTAGCAATTTAAAATGGAGATTCAGCTTCCTCCCCCCCTCCCCATCACTTTCAAGGATGAGGTAAGTTCGTGTAGTTTTTGATTAATCGGGTCAATTGCGAGCTTGAGCTGAGCAAATTCCTTCCTTAATTGCCCAACATCACAGCTCAATTCTTTTATCTCAATTTTTATTTCTTCCTTTATTTCTGTTAGTGCCTGTGTAATCGGAGCCTGGTAACTTTGGTCTAGCTTTCCTCCTGCTGCCACCATTTCTTCCAGCAAAGAAATCTCTTGCTCTGATTCTTCCGAGTCAGCAAAGTCTTTCCTTGGTGGTTTATAAGGCGGGTTTCTAGCTCCCTTTTTTCCTCTGGTTCTTCCCATGCCTGGCATTGAAAGTTTTTACAAATTTACCTTATTTGTTGAAGAGCAAAACGTTGTTTTCTGTTGGGGGTAGCAGGAGAGCGTGAGAGCTGCAGCCAACCAGAAGGACAGCCACCACACACACCCCAGTTGCTTTTCCATAATGACTCTATATCTTTTTCTCCTCAAGGAGAAAAGCAGCTATGATTAGTTTTGACTGGAGAAATTGCATAAGGTCTCCTATACTTCAGCAGTCCTCAATTCCAAATCTCAGTCTGTTTTTCCTCCCTCAGTCAAGAGGGAAATAAAAATCAGGAATGCCAATGTGATGCAGTGGTTCTAGTATCAGACTAGACCTGAACCATGAAGTTGATTTGGTGACCATAGGCCGGTCACTCTCTTTTAGCCTAACTAGCACACAGCGTTGTTGTGAAGATTAAACAGTGGAAGAGAAAACCATGTATGCTGTTGTGAGCTCATTGAAGAATGATGAAATGGATAGAATCACAGAAGTAATTAAAGTTGTAATTAAACTAGAGTTTAAAAAAACCCATAGAACTTAAAATCAACTTAGAGAAGAAGACTAAACAGCCCACAAACAGATGTATTCACATAATAACACTTGATAACATGTAATCAATTGTATCCTACAAAACTGTCTCCCATTCTTCCATACAGCTCTGCTGAAATTGAAGGCAGTTGATGGCAATTGTGCAGTGGAAACAAAATATGTCAAACCAGTCTGTTTGCCTGATTCTGTATTTCCTGATGACACAGAATGCTATATCTCAGGTTGGGGACTTACTGAAACAGGTGAGTTGTTTTGATGGATAAAATAATGGATTGTAGCTAGCATAATGCTCACACATACCCACATCCAGTTTACCCTTTGCTGAGTGCTCTCTGTTATTAGGCCAGGGTAAGGAGAGCCACCTTCCAGGCCCATATTGCAGTGCCTCTATTGAAGTAGTATCTCATTCCTTATCTTGTGAAATTCTATCTGCCCTAAAGAAATTGAAACCCAATCAACATGTTTGTTTTTAATGTCACTTCACCAAAATAAGGGGTTAACCTTGTTGCTTTTGTGTAGTGAAAATGCTTTGAATGTGCCCTTAGAGTTGGTATATAGATAATATGAGGACAATAGCTTTATTAGAGCCAACCCTTGCCTTTGACAACTCTCTCTGGAATGTTTAATATCAGATCTCACGATGAGCGTGTACAAAATTACCTCACAGTATATTTATCACATCAAAAATTATTGCGAGTATTGTTAGACAAGGATCAAAGTGTTAATTTCTGTAGCATTTTACTCAAAACATGCCATGAAAGTATAAATGTTCAGTTTCTAATTGAATGTAGCCATGTGCAGGGCTTCATTGAGCATCTGTGAAGCTGCCTGATATTTATAATTCTTCTGGAGGTTATGAGTACAGGAAGTGTTATTACAGCTCTATTAAGTCTTTGCCCCACTGGCTGAATGAGTGTTTGATTTGTAGGTATGTCCATCTGCTGTGTAAATGGAAAGCGTGGGCTTGGACTGATGGGTGAAAAATCCACTGTGATTTCTGTACATCTGCATTCACCTTCACTTACTATAAGAGATTCCTTTTTTAGTGCTCTCACAGGGTGCTATGCAGGGATAGTGCCTACAAAGTTGGAAGTCTCATGCCTTATGTCGCTTCTGTTTCTAGTAGGATGCAGACATCCTTTTAAGTTTTCCTTCACTTAAATCAAGTGGCTGGGTATTCTCCAAATATAAGACTGTAGACGGCATGACTACAGACAGTGTCTGAAGTGAGATGATATTGCTAGAGTTGGTCAGGTAATATATCCAGGTTTTACTGACCACTACAAATTATCTCTGCAGAACAAGTCAATCATTGGAGTTACACCACAGATTATACATTTATAACCAATGCCAGGCATTTGAAAATGTAACTTTGAAATTTGCTGAAAACTAAGGTTGTTACATGTACAATGAAAAACACATTTAGGCCAAGCATGTATGTAATTTGCTCATCTCCATTTTGGTCATATGTCACTCATCATCTCGACTTTATTCAAAGAATCAAAACAGAGGGAATGAGATTGTGCTCTATTTACAGATTCTGAGCCATAACTAGGCAAGAAACCCAGGAGCTGTGACAATATTTTCCAGCCTATTGGTTTGAATAAGTTTTTGATATGCAGCATCTGGATTTTTGGATGCTTATTGAATTTGAACTGCCAAATCTATTCAAGTTCAGCTAAACTTCTCTGACATACTGTGAGTTCCTTGGAAGGAAGAAGTAATTCTTGTGCTTAAAAATAAGATAATGAGAGCTTTCTGAAAAATGCATTTTCTCACTTTTCATTTAATGAGTTGCTGTAAAATTGCAGGTGGACAATATGTCAATCATGTTCCCAAAAGTACTCTGATGTTTTATGAGCAATATAATCCAATATGAAGTATATACATCTTTTGATATAATTCATATTGAAAGTAAGAAGCATTGGGTATGCAGATTCGGTAGGTTATGTGCTGATGATATGTTTTAATAACCCATATTCTTCAATAGCACAACCACCTTTCTAAAGCAACACATTCATAGTTCAGAGTGCATAAATGTTATATGGCTGGCTGACCTGCTGTGATGTCACAGTGAGACTGCTCAGATTCCCCCCCCCCCATTTCATTTGTACTTCCTTCAGGAAACTCAGTGCAGCTCTGTAGCCTTTCCACAATACTTTGGTTTGGTTTAGGCAAGGAACCAGTCATTTGCGCAGGTATACCCAGCAAGTTTTGCAGCTGAGCAAGGATCTCAACCTTGTTGAGCTACATTTGTGCTACATTTGCAGTGTAATCTGAAACGGAGTAGCACCCTTCTAAGCCCATTGACTTCAGTTAGAGCCAGGGTGGTGTAGTGGTTGTCCTAGGATCTGGGCAAACCAGGTTCAAATTCTCATTCTGCCACGGAAGCTTGCTGGTGACCTAGGTGAATCAGGCATTCTGGACCTAATCTACCTCAAAGGGCTGTTGTGAAGATTAAATGGGGACAGAGGTCATTTCGGGGGGGAACACGGGGGAACACAGTTCCCCCGGGTGAGGTGCAGGGGGGCGGGGCACATGATGAAGCCCCGCCCCTGCTTCCGGCCACCCCGCTTCCAGCCCTCATTCAGCCAGGAGGAGGCAGGAGAAGAGGGAGGGTAAGTTGCTTCCTCCCCGCCTCTCCCCACCCCTGCCTGCCTGGGGCCAGGGAGGGCCTTTGCGGGGCTTCCTCGCACTCCCGCCAGCCTTGCAGGTCCACCGCCGGGCCCCTGATGTCAGGGGGTGTGGCATATGCTAATGAGTTATGCTAATGAGTTCCCCTAGCTCTTTTTCTACGAAATGACCCCTGAATGGGGAAGAATGATGTAAGCCAGTTTGGGTCATCATTGAACCAGACAGTTCAGCTTTGACTCACTGTTGCCCTTGAAAAGTCTACAAGAGCTGAATCTTCCTTGATTAATCAATGCAAATCTAATAAAATATGGATTTTCAAAGGCAAAACAGCAGGTAGAGAAGTAACTCATGAAACAGCATATAAATTGAGGTCTGAAAGCCTTAAAAAAAAAAAAAAGATAACCTCTGTAATGCCTTGGTCATTTCCTAATCCTCTATCCTGACAAAACTCTCATTGAATTCAGCATATAATTTTTACCTTCCAACAGAAGTTCATATTGTAGGCCCCAACAAAATGCTGTGAACCAGTTTAAAAAAGAACACCCCCTCCACACACAAAGATTTAGCTAAAGGAAGATGGAAAGTAAGAGTTTCTTTATTTTCCTGGCATTCGTCCTGCAGGTGAGGAATCTCATCAGCTGTTAGATGCCAGAGTGAAGCTGATTTCCCAGACGCAGTGTAATGCGCCAAGCGCATATAAGAACAGACTGGATGAAAGCATGCTTTGTGCAGGAAATCTTCAGAGAACAAGAGCTGATACTTGTCAGGTCTGTTGCTTTTTCGGTATTTGAACACTAATTTCTCTTTTAAAAAAATGTAAATAGGCTATGCAGAGTAATGTCTGGCAGGGTACTACATATGTATCTGCTTCTTGTATCAGATATATTACAACAACCTCCTTCCTTTCAACATGATGTGAGAGGAATGTCCTTCAAAGCAACAGCAGCTCTTCCGGTGACAGGCAAGCCTATGAGAGAAGTTCAATTGGTGTAAACCACAGAAACTTGGGAATTTGACAAGGTTTCTCCCAACACATCTTGTTCATGTGATCCATACCTCTTTCCCCGTTTTGTTCATTGTGTGTTACCATGCTATTACACTGAGCCTTTATATTTATTTACCTATTTATTTCTCTTTCCTAGAATATCTCCAGAAGGGAAATATATCCCTAATGTACTAAGACTTCAAATGAATAATAATGGAAAAGCTAGGGTGTTGTGTTCTGCATCTCTGGGCAGCTTCTCTAGGCTTATAGGACCACTCTTAAGAACTCCCTTAACACTAGATCTTTTCTCCACAAACTGACCTGCCAATCATAATGATGGGCATTCTGCTAATAATGAAATAATATTGTGAGGCGAGAAACTGACCAAAAACAGCTGCCTTCAAGTCTTCTCCATGATTATTAGTAGATAGCTATACTATAAGCTCTACACTAACCATGAAATCCTACACAGTCATTTTAGCCTAAACCCACTGACATCAATGGACTCACAATGGAGCAACTCTGCATAAGATTGCACTGCAAATCTTGCACTCTCTTGGCCTTTGTATAAAAAGCCTGGGAAATTATTCTTCTGGCTGAAGCATAATGTTTGATGTTGGTCAGTATTTTTATTTTGGAATTATTTGTCTTATTTCTTAATAGGGCGATTCAGGTGGTCCTTTAACCTGTGTTAAAAACGGCTCTTATTATATCTATGGAATTGTGAGCTGGGGAGACCAATGTGGATTAAAAAATAAACCAGGAGTTTATACCCGTGTGACAAGATTTCTCAATTGGATTAGAACAAAAATTCAACAAGAGTCTATTTCTCACAATTAAGAAATGTTTTGGAACCAAAGAAAGGTAAATCTAAAACATTTATGAAATTGTTTTAATAATGGAATTGTTCTTATATGATGTTATGTTGTCTTAACTGTATTTATGCATTTACTGTGAGTCGCCCTGAGCCTGCATTGAGAGGAGGGCGGGATACAAATGTGATAAATAAGTACATAAATAATGAAAAGTTGTGAAGGTTTTTCTAATATTTTTACCCTGAATGTATTTAATTAAAAGATTGTTAAGAAATGTGGATTTCAAACTGCACAAATGTATCCTGTTCTCTTCAAAATGCAAATCTGAATACATTACCATATGAGTCCTGGTGTTGGCTTTCACTGGTCTACACTATGGTGGGTTGCTAAACAACCCACATGACTATACAAAAATGTGTTCCTGATCCAAGTGTAAAATGCAGCCCACATTATACCACAATGATACCTAGTACAGTTGAAAATTATATGTGGATATTATGGGTTAGATCCTAACTAAATTAGCAATTTCCACCACTTCCCCCATTCTGCTGCAGACAACGCTCATATCATTCCTTGGTGTCCTCTGTCTGCCAGGAGCAGCAGTTCATTGAGATCAGTGGGCTGCAGGGAGAGGGAGGAGGCAGGAAGGTTCCATTCTGCCGCTGGATAATTTAGTTTGGATCCAACCTAATGTTTCACTCTTGCATGCTCTTTCACTCTAATACAATCATTCCAATTCACTCACTCACATATTCCCACTCCTTTCAAGGATAACAAGTTTTCAAGAATCCACCCCAGATGAGAGGAGTGGAACTTATTATATAATCATTTTATTACTGTGTCCTGCTATTATTTATTGTCAGCTGTCTCACTGGTAATCTAATGTTAAATCACTCCACTGATAATTATTTATAATTCATCTGGCTCTGAGACATATGTAATATTATGATAGCCAGTTGTTTACACTGTGATATGTAAAATTGTAGAATATGTATATAATAAAAATATTTTAAAAAAAAAAAAACAAAACCCAGAATGTTGAGTTACAAAAAGATTTAGGAAAAAGAAGGAAGCTAAATATTATAACTGGTGCCTCACTATAATGCTCATAAACCAAGGAATAATTTTGGCAGCTAGAACATTGTTAGCCTCAAAATGGAAAGACCAGAAAATACCGATGATAGATCAATGGCTCCGAAAGTTGTGGAACTTTTATATTTTAGGTAAACTTATGAATAATACACAACTGAATAGATCAGATCAACAGAAACTAGCATAAACTGAATTGTGGTCTCCTGTTATTCATTATTTGATGGAAAATGACATTTTACTGAATGATGACAATTATGTGGACTTGATATGAATATAAGCAGAGCTTTTTGTTTTGATGGTTGATCAGGGCTTATTCATCTTAACCGCATGGCCTTATATGCTTCATTTATAGTTTTAATATATTTGATGTGATTTTTTTTTACAAAAATAAAAATGTATTAAAAAAAATAAACCAAGGAATAATAATTACTCAACAGAAATATTTCTAGAAACTGTTGGTTTATTGTACTTTCAGCAAATCATGGTTCATTAGTTTTAGTACAAAGCTGAGCCTGCCAGTCATCTAGTACTAATATCATTTGCTGTCTTAAATATATAGTAAATTCTGGAATACATACCTTTACAAATTACCGACAATATGCATGCAAGAATATAAAAAAAATCATTATTATTGAATCTAGATTTAGATCACTTATTTTTTTCGTGCCATCCTCTATGCTCCTCTATGGTTAGAAAAGCTACATGACTTGCTGATCAAGCTGAAAAACATACACATTTTCCACCAACAGATGTTCATGTTCCAATTTATTTTTTCATTAGCTGCATTTTTCTTCGCTTGACTTGCAGAATTTCTGCTGCATCTGGGTTGATTCTGGCTTGTTGGGATCCTTCTACTGTTGCCTGTTCCTGCCAACAAAATAAATTCGAAGTATTAGCTACTGGAGAAGACTGTTATGTAATATCCATTAATAAAATCAGTAAAGAAAAATGTCTCATTTGGTATTTTTAATAATAAAATATTAATTCAATGTCTCATTTGGCATTTTAAATACTAAAATATTAATTTTACGTCAAAGGCAGCTTTTTCTGGATACTTCGGGCAACCTTGGATGCTATCAAACATATATGTAATACACGTTCACTCTTACAGCCCACTATTATATAGAATGTATTCCAAGAGATATCTGTGACCTCCGAACACATAGGACTTAATCTACTGATAAAGGGGGAGCGGTGGCACAGAGGATTTATCCTCTGGTTAACATTGTAACATCTGAGCTGAACAGGCTTGCTGTCAGTTCTAGCCCCGCGCTGGTGTGAGCTGCCAGCCTTGTCCCCAGCTCGCCGTCTACCCAGTGGTTTGAAAGCTTCGGCGAGTAGATAAAATGGGTACCACTCCTTAGAGAGAGTGGGCACACTGAACCCCCCCCTCATGGGGTGGAACGGAAGTCCAGCTCGCATGATGGAAAGCCTAGAGAGATCTTCTCGGCGTGAAGAAAAAAATCCTGTAATGGGCCATCCGGCCAGGCGATGGCAGTGTGGCGCTACAACTCAAGGAGTCTGGAGAAAAGCTGATGCCATCAAACTCGGCCGAGGAAAAACGCCATTCCAGATCACGACACATCTGCATCTGAACGGAACCCTCGTCGGCTGTGAATGTGTGCAATTAAGATGTATATATGTTGTCCTCCCTTACCCCACAAAGCATTGTTAGTCCCTCGTGAAAAATGAGTAACTGTAAATCACTCAGAGACAGCAAGCATTGCAGGATTGAGTGATCAATAAATTGAAAGATTATTAATTATTATTATTATTATTATTTCATTAGTTGACAGCAGGTAAAGGCATAATGTTCTGTATACCTTATTTAAATCTTAGGGTAAATCTTAGGTTAATCTTTAAGCTGCCCCTGGACTTCTGTTTTGTTTTGCTACAATGGCTAAAAAATAATTTATTGTATGGCATTGTGTGTGGTATAGCGAGCAGATCCTAGGATTGTCTGGCAGTCTGAAGCTCTAGCTCTTTTTTCCTTTTTTTTAGTATTATGCAGTGAGCTAGGCTTATTTTGGGGGGCTAGGAGAGCTGTGACTGACCCAAGGTCACCCAAACTGGCTTCAAGTGGAGGAGGGCGGAATCAAATCCGGTTTTCCAGATTAGAGTCCATCACTCTTAACCACTACACTACACTGGCTCCTGCTATAATGGCTATACCACTGGAATCCACATGATCTTACGTCTTCCCATTTACATCTCAGTAAGTCTTGGCCAGTGACCTTCATTTCATGGAACACTTATGAAATATTTTCTTTTTAGAATTATAAGTGAAAATGCTTTTGAAGGCAAAGGTTTAAAATATTGTTTCAGTTACCCTTTATTTCCACTAACTGTAATAACTGTGACAGTCTATAGTATTAGGCAATTAAAGTTCCTGTATACTATAAACATGTACAACGCTCAAATCCTCTTAAATGCTTCAGATTCCTTCATCTTCTACAATAAGTAAAAGAAAAATGGACACAAAAACCACAAAACGAACTAATATACAAAACAGCAGAGAAACAGCAGTTTCCTGAACTTCATGGAAATAAAATGAAAGTTTGTCATCCGAAATATCTATTGTTATGCTTTAGTCCCTCTTTTAACAAAGGAGGTGAAAGTTGAGTACGTGATTGTCCTTTCTCCAGGAATTTCACAACATGGAGCTGGCAACCCTAAGATGAACTGATCTCTGTATTTGGGCAATCCATTGTGATTCCGGGAGAGTTGCTGCCAAAGTGTGGACCCACCCCTGCTGGTGACTTTGAATTTCTGGGAATTTTGCATCTCTAAATCTGCACACCAAGTGCTGATAAAAAGTCCTGTCCATTCACTTACAGTTTCCATATTACACTGATTCAACATTTCTTGAGGCTGATGTTCCTGAGCATAGGCAAGTTCAGCAGCCCTTCTGGCCATTTCTACTTTGTAAGAACCTGGAGGAGTCCAGCCAATGCCTTTGATCCAGTTCAGATCAGATTTGTACTTAACCTGCAAAACAGATTAATGAACACTGGGATGTTAATGACGAGGCTCCAAGAAAACACATCTTCTATATCATAAGGAAAATAGTTTGGCTTTTACCAACAGGCCTTTGTTTGTTTGTTTGTTTGTTTCAACAAATACAAATTCTGAAATAATGCATGTTCTGCATGTTCTCTCTAAATAAAAATCCACAGAGACATTTATTTTATAAAATAAATATGTTATCTATCTTGAATATTGAGATCATGTTAGAACACAGGGGCAACACATGCTGAAAAACCAGAACTACTGGAGAGTCACACAGCAAAGGTATATTGGTTGTTTTCTTTTGTGCCATGTCTTCTGAGAGTTCCCAGTTCCAGCCACAAATCCATGCACTCTTTGCCATATGTCTTTTTTGCCCAGTATTGTGGTCAAGTGGAAAAAATAATTTAAATTAAAAAAAATTAATTTCAAGAAATGTAAATCAGATTTTTAAATTTAAAATTAGATTTGAAAAGAACTGAGTATCAAAAAATAGTTTCTCTTCTAAAAATAAACTTTTAAAATGAAATCTGAATTTATCTCTACTTCCCCATCCCACTGTAGCCCCAAATGCACCCCAAAATGCTGTGCCCAAAGGACAGTAGACACCTGGAAATGACTCAAGAAGGAAGGCAAAAGATCTGCCGCAGGAGGGAAGAAACTGGCAAAAACTGCCCCACCTTCTGTGGGGAAATCTTCTGCTGGATCCAACCCATAATCTTTTAAAGATGAATTTACAACCCTCTGATGAACTAACGTCTTTTTTTTAAAAAAATAAACAGCCGCTGAGAAAACATTTTTGTAAGTTGTCATACAGTCCTGTTATTCCTGCATCTATATTACGGGCGGCTTGGTCCTGGGGACCAGGAACCAGCAACTCTCCACGGATGTTTATCTAGGTAAACTTTTAAACCCATTTTATGCATA